AGCATAGAGGGCGTGTATCATGTTTTCCAGTGTGTTTTTTGCATATTTTCTTATAAGGTTGTGCGTGGTTGTACACAATAATTTTGATGTTTTTTCATGTAAAGAAGGGAGTGTATTGGTACCGTTTATCAGAGATAGTTTGTATGCTAGAAAACGTGGGTTCAGCCAAACCATTGAATTGATCCGTCCTTTGTTACGAGCTGGGTATGTTTCACATCATTTTGTAGAAATTTCTAATATTCCTTTTTCACTGTAAAATTCTGTTTAATCTGATAAAATTACTAAAAACAAACGTTAGGCTTATACTAATAGTATGTCGACCGTTTTTAGTGATTTTACGATCTTTTACAATACCAGTGGCGGATAAAATTTGAAATATAGGGGCCCAGAGAGGGTAGGTCTATACTCCCTCAGCCCCACCATGATTGGGCTGAGGTAGGTGCGGAGGTTATGATTATGCACCTCTAGATGGCTGGAAATAGCACTCTTGACTCAAAATTTGAGTTGAATTTTCTTTTTTCCTAATTTTTTTATTTTAAAAAATTTAGGGAGGGGGCGGGTCTGCTGGGCCCCTTGAATCCCCCACAGAAAACGCCCATCTTGGGCTCATCCGCTAATTAAACGCCATTTCCGATAAACGCGTACCGTACGTCACCGTAAGTCGCTTTTATACAAAAAGCTAAAAGCTGCGCACGCTAGCGAATTATTGCAAATGGGAGGTAAGGATGCTTATATTTCTTCATAAGTATGAATATAGACTATAGATTTATTATTTTATTATATCTAACTATACAGAGCGACTTTCATATTGAGATTTCGTAAGAACTAAAGACTAACAATGTTCGTCGGATTAAAACCACGCATTTCAACTACCATTAACACTATCGACGCTTAACGTGATTGGCGCCAACTGTAGCAATATGCCTATATATCATGGCAGTATATTATTATACCCGCATCTGCCAATAAACACATGATCCTTGCTCATTGTCAGATGCGTCAACATGGCCGATAAAGAAGAGCCCGTTGACGACCTTAACGAAGGCAAATATTGGATATGGTGCCTCATAAATTGCCTCGGATGTATCTTTTTTATAATATTTGCAGCCCTGAGGTTTCTACGTATGCAGGAGAAGGATGTAGATGCCGTGCCGTATTCGTGTCTTTACATAGGTAGGCGTCAATGTTTTCCAATTATTAGTCCTTAGGCCCAATAATAATAGACCTACATGTTTCATGCTACCCTACAGGTTGTCCGACAGCCCGTCGAAACTAAATAACGTATATAGGTCTATTTAGTGTACTCCTATTATGGTGTACAGTACAAATCAGGAATCTGGGTGACACTTTTAGTGAATATCATTATTTTCATTGCTTTGTCATTGATACCGTAACCAGGCATGTCTGATATGAAATTAAACGTGGCAGATCGAGAGCACGTTAAATATATTACAGTATATCACCCCAATTTATATGGTTGGCCTCTATTCAATTTGATAATTCGTTTTCGTTTTACAGATAGCTCATACAATAATTTTATTGAAGTTTTCCGATGTTATTTTAAAACACCGAAGCGAGAAATCGATCGAAAAGAACTGCAGAACATCATCAACAAGATGTGGTCACCAGATAGTAATAAAAATCCTGTACTGGTGAGTTTGTCGTTTAAAACAGCTCTCGACTTGTTCCTCAGGATTCAAAAATACCCACCATCATCAGAAGTCATTCTAACAGCCATAAATATCCCAGATGTAGTCCAGATCCTCACCCACCATGGCATTAAAGTAGTTCCATTGGACATTCATAAGGAAACTCTGGCACCGAATATAGAACATCTCGAGTATCTTTTGAACGAGAGAACTGTTGCTGTTATTGTCACACATCTCTATGGTCGTTCATTTGATATGGCAGACGTTATTAAGCGTGCCAAAAGCCACGGAATCCATGTACTAGAAGATCGTTCGCAATCATTCAACGGACTTCAAGACGTTGGAGATCCAGAATCGGACCTGGTGTTCTTTAGTTTTGACGTCACTCAACAGAGCACTATCTTTGGCGGTGCTGTTTTGAAAGTGAAGGACAAACTGCTGTACAGCAAGATGTCAAAATTATACGAATCCTATCCAATACAAAGTGATACTACATATTTAGCTAGTGTTCTTAAATGTTCAGTTATTTCTATGGTCTTGAATAACCCTTTCTTAACGAATTTTGGAACTGCTTTGTTCAGGTTTTTCGGAAAGGAGATGAAGAAACTTCTTAACCAACTGTTGACGGCTCCAAGTAAGTCGGGCCTGATCCGCGGATTAAGATTTCGATCTTCAGCAACGTTATTGCACATAATGGCCAAAAGGTAGACGTTATAATTATTGAATTTGTTGGAAGATGATTTGGTAGATTTTACACAAGATAAATATAATAATAATAATAATAATAATAATAATAATAATAATAATAATAATAATAATAATAAATATCAATTAAAATTTAATATCTCTGGATAAAGCAGAAAACAAAAGAACTTAAAGTTTTAAGCTTTCGACTATCACTGTAGTCTTGTTCACAATGACACACGATGGACTTCCGGAGTTGAAACTGTGTAAGTCCCTCTATGTGGCCGTGTTTACGTAGGTACTCCGCTCCAATATAAGAAACTAACTTAACAATGAATTGTTTGCGTTCATTTCAACAGCTTGTCTTTTCTCATTAATTAATAGCGATTATATAATAAAAACATGCACCTGAAGTGGCATTATTGTTAATATTATTTAAACCTCCATCATCAACTTCATTATTTATTATTGTTAATAATAAATATGTACTGAAGTGAAGTGTTATTATTATTATTCACATGATCATTATTATAATTATTTATTATAACATTATTATTATTATTTTAAATATTAGTATATCCATGACATAACTATTATTATTAATATGATTATTATTATCACTCACATTTTGGTCGTCTACTTCATTTACTTATCCATTATTACTATCATCATCGTCATTATTAATATTATCCTTGTCACTTTCTTCGTTGATAGATTCCAAGATTTTGACGATGAAACGTTTAAAAAGGGTCAAGAAAATGGTGACTACGTAAGTGAGCGGCTTCCACAAGTTGCTGAGCAAATTGGAATGATGGCAAATCGTAAAGGTTATTGGCTGTTTCCTATTATTGTGGTAAGTGAAACGCATGTTATGCCTGAATTTAATGCCTATATATTTGTAATTATATAGGCCTACTTAGAAACACCCATAAATGTAATCTCAAAGACCTACCAGAAGCAGGGGAAAATAATTATATGTTTAATACTGTATATTAAATTGTTCCTCAATACAACTCGAGAATTTTTATATCATCTCTCGGTCGATCGACGGTTTCAATACAAGTGGCAAACATCTTGCTTGTATAGGTCTATAAGATTACTGTATTGCTTTTGGAAATTGTAGTTATGGTAGTGTGATAAAGAACAGTGAACATAAATTTAAATCATATGTGTCTGTACCTTGCAGGAAGACGCGGATGAAGTAACCAGACGACTCAACAATCTTGGAATTGATGCTGCGCGGGAGGTTGCTCATTTACAATTGATCGCAGAGGGTAACAGAGACATAGGCCTATCAGATGACTCTTTAGAGACGGCCAGATATATAATAGACCACGTCGTCTATCTCCCTGTTCATAAACGCGTTAGGGTTTTCTATTTGGATCAAATTTTGCTGGCTGTAGAAATTGTCCTTAATAAACTCGCTATTTTGAAACGGTTTGATAAGGGACACAATGGAGATGATAACACTGAAAGTAGCAGAAATCCAGAAGCGATTAACAGACGCAGTAATGGCTCGAAGAGGAAAACCGTTACCTTTGCGCCGACGGTGACTGTCCGTCGCAGCCACCGTGTTACAGAATGAACTTTTTAAAGCACTTGTAAAAAACTACGCATACCCAATGATCGAACGAAAGTGTACAAATTGAAATGAAGCTAGATAGACTAATTAGAATTTTAATTAGATAGAAAATTAACTGAATAAAAAACGAGTTTTTATGCCTTGTTAATTGTTGCAAATATAATTATATATATATATATATATATATATATATATTCGCCTATACACACACACACACATATATAT